TGCTTGGGATACTTTTCCCCCATCTTTTCACTCTAATGGGGTTCCTAGCCTTAAAGGTAAGATGAATTTCTTATAGGCACAAAAAATACTGTTTCTTAATTCAACTAACCTGTGTTTGTTGATTGGAAAGTTGAGGTCATTAATATTTAAAGTTATTATTGAAAGATGTGTGTTGATTGCTGTCATTTTTTTCTGTTTCTATGTTAATCTCTATTTTCTGTTTGTGTGTTGTGGGTCAGTAATTATAGCTTCTTGTATTTTCTTTCTGTTCCCTCTTGGCTATGTTTATTCCTCTCTCTGGTCCACTGTATTGCTTCCAGTATCATCTCTGTAGGGCTGTTTGTTGGACATGAATTCCTTTAGTCTTTTTATATCATGAAAGATTTTTTTTCCCTCCAACTGTGGCAGACAGTTTTGCTTGGTTAATAGTCTGGATTGGCATCTGTGGTCTTTTAGAGCTTGGAGTACATTCTCCAGACTCTTCTGGCTTTTAAAGTTTGGATTGACAAGTCAGTTGTTATTCCGATGAATTTTCCTTTATATGCAACTTGTAGTTTTTCTCTTGCAGCTTTCAATACCCTCTCTTGTTCAGCATATTTAGTGTTTTTATTATGGTACATAGTGGCGAGTTTCATTTCTGGTCCTGTCTATTTTGTGTTCTGTGTGCTTCTTGTATCTGTATGGATAAGTCTTTCCTTAATTTAGGGAAATTTTCTATAATCCTGTTGAAGATACACTCTTTGCCATTGATCTGTGATTCTTCTTCTTCCTCTATGCCTATAATTAGTAGATTTGGTGTTTCCATGATATACCAAAGTTCTTGCATATTCAAGTACTTAAAAAAATCATATTCATTGATTCAATAGTTCAATTCTTCTACTTTACCTTCAAGTCCTGATATTTTTTCTTCTACTTGATACATTCTACTGGCAAGACTTTCCCTTGACTTTTTAAAATTGGGTTATTGAGGTTTTAAATTCCATTTTCATTTAATCTCTTTACCAAATTCAGTTTTCAACCCTGAATCGTCTTTGTCCTATCGTTCAGCCATATATCTGTGCTTTCTTGGACTTCTCTCAGGAGTTTACTCCTGCCCTTTTTCAGTTCATTCAGGTGTTTGCTTATGCCTTCTTTAAATTACTTGAATTCTTTGATCATGTTTACGATTGTTCTTTTAAATTTTGTGTCTTGGGGTTCATCTGGATAATTTGCATTGTAGAATATTTCTACAGGATTAGTGAGTTCTTGGGGGGTATTACTTGGCCTTTCATATTGCTTGTGTTTTTGCAATGTAATGTGGGCATATGGACTTCTTTTGTTCATTGTGTGTCTAATATGAAATTCTAGCCTGCCTCTGTTGAGTGGGAATTTGGTTTGTTTTTGTTGATGCCCAAGCTTGTATGATTTTAGCTCAGGTATGGAGAGTTGGTAGTTAAGTCCTTCAGCTTCCTACTGTTTATTTTTGTTTGGAGGGACAGGTATGATCTAACTCAGCAATAATGAACTAAGAGTGCAAATGTGACTCCAGGCTGGTTCTACCTGGGTTGGTACACAGGCTGCCTATCCAAGCTATGCCTGGGAATAGGTGGGGGGATGATAGTGGGGGTTGGAGAATTTTCTGGGGAACTCAGTAGCCTGGGTTGGTGTGATAACTCCACACCCAAGGTTGGCTTGGGAGTGTGGGGAAGATGGGTGGGGGATAAGTTTCTGAGAAACTTAGCAGGCTGGTTGAGGGGGCAAGCAGCACACCCAATCTAGGCCTGGGAGTGAGAGGATGGTGGCATAATAGGGCAAAGATCTAGTGGACTCATCAGTTGAATTCTTAATTGGAGGCCTCAAGAATATAGAGACATTGAACATCAATGTCTGGATATCATAGTATATCAGACTGAGATCTGGTCTGATTTGAGAGAAACTTCCTTTGAGACTACATTTAAACTTTTCATAGATGGGTCCTCTAGAATGATTGAAGTTAAAATACTATGCTAGGGTGATTGGGGAATGCTTTTTAAAAATTATTTATTATTTTATTTTATGTGTATGAGTGTATTGCCTGCATGTGTGTTAGTACACCTGTGTTGTGCTTGCCTGCAGAGGTCAGAAAAAGGGGTAGGATTCTCCCAGAACTGGAGTTATGGATGGTTGTTAGCCACCTTGTGGGTGCTGGGGGAATCAAAACTGGATCCTCTGCAAGAACAGCTAGCGCTCTTAACTGCTGAGCAATCTCTCCAACCCCAGGATGGGGAATGTTTTAACACTTTTGAATCAGGAACATTATCCAATAATTTGTCAGCTCAAACTTGTGACTTGTTTGCATTAAATCTGGCACTAAAATACCTTAAGGGTCAAGAAAAAACTATTTACACTGATTTCAAATATGCTTTTGGTGTAGTGCTTTGGTAAGATCTTGACTGAACAGGGTCTAATTAATAGTAAGGGGAAAGATTTTGCCCTCAAGGAATTCATCTACCAATTCAATATGATTTGATGTTGACAGAGAAATTGCAATAGTACATGCCCCTGGGCATCAGAGGCATTATTGCCTTGAAGTTAGAGGTAACAATTTGGCAGATGAAGCAGACAAGTGGGCTGCTCTAAGGGAAGTGGTTTCTCTTCTCTATTTCATACTTACCCTTCCCCTAACTCAATTTCCCCACTGTTTGCTCCAGAAGAGGAAAAATAACTGGTAAAAGCAGGGGCTTCCAACAGGGAGGACAGAAAATGGATTCTCTCAGATGGATGTGGGATGTTGTCTAAGCCTTATGTGTGAATTACTATATTACCTCTATAAGGAAATCATTGGAGCCCTCAAGCTATGTGCGATACAATCCTCAGGGCTATGGATGTCTGGGGATTTATACCATAGCCAAACAGTTTACTCAAGGATGCCTGATTTGCTCCAAGGTTAACAGACTGGCCATGAGATAACTACTCCCTGGAGGGAGGAATCCAGAGTTGAGACTGTTCCAAAGTACACAAATAGATTACACAGATATGTAAAAGGTTGGCCATTTAAAGTACCTGCTTATAATAATCAGCCACTTAGTGTGTAGGTGAAGCTGCGACCCTACTTAGGGCTACTTCCAATAATATAATCAAGGTACTATTGGAGAATAACTCCCAGATTTTATATAATTGAAAGCATTAAGTCAGATAATGGAAGTTATTTTACTGACAATATTAGGGTGCTCACTCAAGCCTTTTAAATAAATTGTGAACAGCATATTCCCCTGCCATCCTCCCTCCTCTGGTAGAGAGGATGCATCAGACCTTAAAGAAACATTTCTAGGTGTCTGCTTTTCCTCATGTTTCTCTCCTTTCTTTCTTTGTTAAGAAAGGAATGTTTGTACAGTCATACACATCCAACTTCCTGAAAATGACCCCCCTCCTCACTTCCGCCTTCTGCTTTCCTGCTATTTTTCAAACTAGCTAATCAAGAGTGGACTGTGAGGTTGAACCTCAGCTAATAAGAAACAGCCAAGCTCTCTCTTGCCTTAGAGATTAGAAAGCAGAGGCCAGCCTGGCCATGTATATACAGTTTTGCCTTGCCAAGATGCTTTAATTAGAGTGGTGGTCTCTTTTTGAACCTGAACTTATCTCTAACATATTCTTTAACACAGGTTACCACCCTCCCGGAACTTTAGTTTCAGTAGGTACCATTATTAATCCCATTATACAGATAAGGAAACTGAGTTATCCAGCTTGTAAAGAAACTGTTGAGACTGTGAACTAAAGTCTCAGAAAAAGTCTGCATCTTCAAAGCAAATCTTCTGCAAGGTTGATCAACAGATTAGACCTTCAGTGATTATGGAGAGTTTGGAACATTGTAGTTCCAGAGGCTAATTACCATTTATCTTGGGTCATCTTTAGTCCCTAAATAGCCATTCCTTGTCCACCTCTGTTTCTGACTTAACATCCTTTGACTAATAGACAAAAACATTTTGAAAATTATTAATTTACCAGACCACCAGCTTCCACCAACCCAAAGGCTAAGAAGCCTGTCAGATAGCATCTAGGGCCTATAGAATTCCCCCCACTTTTCTATAACCTACTTCTCTGATGTCTATACCAATGCATTTGAGAAGAGTCTTAATTGATGGCTTGTGAAACTGTTACCACTTTGGGACACGGAGTTGGGGATAACCTGAATCTGTATTCCCAGGCCATAGTCATACATATTTGGCTGCAGAATAAACTGTCTCTCATCCCTTTCAAGGTGAGAGTTGTGTTTCTGCATCAACAAGACCCAGGTTCTTGTCTACTACACTACTGTAAAATGAAAATTAAATAGGCATCACTTCCATGCAAACTTGGGATAATTCGAATTGTCCATTTGACTATTGTGCCTGATTATCTGAAATATCAGATTAGTTATTCAGACTGCCTTTAAGTTCACTTTGTGCTTTATAATGCAGCTGAATTCACAAGCTCCAGGTGGTAAGAATCTTCACCTCTCTCAGAGAAGAAGGCTTAAGCCATTCTTTGAAGGTTCTTAAACTTTTTTAATGCCTGGTTAGAGGGGGCCAGGATGTAGGGAGCCTAACAAGGTCGCAGAGACTGTTATAGTAAGATTTACATTAAACAAACTGTTACTTTTAACACACTCAGTATGCCTGTGTTTGAAATTTAAACCATTTACATTTAAATCATTTAAAATAACCATGAAAATAACTCAGAAGCCTAAGACTGTGACTTTGTGGTCCAGTCCCTGGCTCCTTGGCACATCTGTGATTGGCTGGGGTGAAAAGTTGGACACCCGACAGGTTTTCTTAACAGTTTCCTAAATGTGACGGAGTAGCCACTGGACAGCAGGCCGCACCAAGTAGGTACCACTGACCATGGGTCACGGAGTCAATTCACCTTCTGGAACCACAGCACCAGTGCAGTCAAGTCTAGGGAGGTGTTTACTGGAGCACCCCGGAACAAACCTAGCCAGGGGTGGCTGGAGGGGCGGGGCCTGGGCGGTGGCGGGGCGGGGTCTGAGCAGCGGCGGGCGGAGACGGGTCGGCGGGGCTCAAGGAAAGCTGTGGTGCGGCGTACCTAGCGCCGCCTAGTAGCCGGATGGCGGCCATGTTGAGCGCTGTGTGCAGCAGGCTAGCTTGGGCCCCGCGGGCACCCCGCACTGTCTGGGCGCTCACCCGTAGGTGCCTGCAAGCGCCTGGACCCCGGTCCTGTGCCAAGCAGAGCGAGAGGGCGGAGGAGCCACCGCGCACCTTCCACCCGTCGCTGCTGGAGTTCCTCGTGTGTCCGCTCTCCAAGAAGCCGCTGAGGTGGGCCTTGTCCTCCGAGGGCCCGGGGAGGGGATAGATGGGCCGCGCGACCCCCACCGCCAGCAGCCCCGGAGGCCGCCCGGGACCTGTGTTTTGACCGGCTTCTTTTTTTGTCCTTGTGTCTGTGGGCGTCGGAGGCCAGAGGTGTCTAGGCCAGAGGTTAACGCTCCCCGCTTGCTGTGTGTTTTGACAAGGGGCTCCTCACAGAACCGAAGTTAGCCTGACTGGGGCAACCGGCCATCGCTCAGCACGTAACTGCTGAGGATGACAACTCAGGTCTCTAAGCTTGCAGGGCAAGCTTTTGATTGACTTAGCCATCTCCTCAGCCCCTTTGTCTCGTCACCTTTTTATTATTGCTGTTATTTGATTGCTTGATTTTTGAGATAGGCTCTCGTTATTTGGCTTGGACCTTCCTGGAACGCTTTATGTAGCCCAGGCTAGTTTGGCACTTATGGCAATCTAACTGCCTCATCCTCCTGCGTGCAAGACATTATAGGAGTGAACCATCACTCCTGGCCTGTATTTTCTTAAACTGTCTTTTAAGTGATTCCAGTGTACAGCCACATTCATGAACCATTTAGATTGAGGACAAATTCAAAGCAATTACCTATTTCAGACACGAGAAAAATATTGTAGTAGTCCCCAAATTCTTGTGGAAATGCTGTCTGCGAAAACCTGGTATCTGACAGCCCTAAGTGTTAAGTTTGTGGTGAGCTGCCCATTGCTTGTAGTTGTGGGCTAGCTGGTTTTGTAAAGTCATCTTTAGCCTTCAGCTGGTTCCAGGTTACTGAAACAGAATATTGGCACCAGTAGTATTACAAAATGTATAAACGTCAAAATGTGGTTATCTTTGGGAAGTAGATTACTAGCAATTTTTACTTATATTTTCAGCTTCTAGATTTGTTGCCCTGTATGAACAAATTATTCAGTTTCTTGATTTACCTTTTAGCTCTTTGTATAACTAGCCCACGGCTTTCCGGAGTTTCCTTCTCCGTACCCTCTCGTCTTTCTCAAGCTTTCATTTTGCATATTTTGATTTGGTGATTTCTTTCTATTGTATCAGTCAATTTAACATTTACTGTAAACAGGAAATTGGGGGTTCCCCTAGTTTTTGTTCAATTGTAAGTTAACTGGAATGGTTTTAGGGTTGACCATAATAAGGAAGGACTATCTGAATGAAAGGTAGACATCTTTTCTGACTAATATGAAAAATAAACTTTAGGCATACGTTGGGAATTAAGTAAAAAAAATAGAACGAGATAGACTGATTTTAATGGGAACAATTACCGAGTGTAAGAAAATTTTCTAAGAGCAGTGGTTGAATTAACTTAGTGCTTTTAAGATTAAAATTGTAGCGTTTGAGAGCATTGACTGCTCTTGCAGAGGACCCGGGTTCAATTCCCAGCACCCACATGGCGGCTACAAACCGTCCTTATGTCCAGTTCCAGGGGAATCCGAAGCCCTCTTCTGACCTCTGAGGCATTGCATAACACGGGTGCACTCACATACATGCAGGCAATACACTCATACACATAAAAAAATAAATAAATAAAATATTGGGGCTGGAGAGATGGCTCAGTGGTTAAGAACACTTGATTATTCTTGCAGAAGACCCGGGTTTGAGTCCCAGCACCCACATGGCAGCTAACAATTGTCCGAAACTCCAGTTCCAGGGGCTCTGACAACCTCTTTTGTCCTCGGTGGGCACTGCATGACACAGGTGCACTTACATACATGCAGGCAATACACACATACACATAAAAATAATAAATAATATATAGAAAAAATTAAAATTGTTTGGTTAGTAACTCTGTATCTAAAATTGTGCTATTTATTTAACATCAGGCTCTTCCGAGCTTTTTTTCTACAATTCATTTTCCCTTTTCCCTTTCAGGTATGAAGCATCAACAAATGAACTGATTAATGAAGAGCTGGGAATCGCCTATCCAATCATTGATGGGATTCCCAATATGATACCACAGGCAGCAAGGACAATGCATCAGAAGAAAAAGCAGGAGGAAGTGGAACAGCACTAGATAAAAACTTCTTACAACTGCGACTGTTGAATTTTCCTTTGAACATAGGGTGAAGGGTACATGGTCGGGGAGAACGTTCGTCTGCCTACTTTGGCTGTTCTTATTCCATTAATCTTTTTATCAGGACTGTTCTTTCTTTTGTGGAAGAAAATTTCCCACAGTGCTGCACTAGCACAGGCAGTGTTTGTTTTTAGCCCACTCTTGCCAACTTCCACACCAGTGTATGTGTTCTTCTGCCTTCCGACCTGGATGGGTGTTAAACCCTTCAGGCATAATTAGTGCAACCACAGTCAAGATAATGTATATAGTAACAGGAGTCTTGGGCAAATATCTGTGGATACTCTAGATACAAACCCATTTGGTTTATAGGAAGGCTGCGTTGTCTTTCTCTCAAGCTTAGAACTATGGGGCACACTGCAGCTTTTTTGTACTTTCGTTCTGCCCTCATTTTTTTTAAAGATTTTCACTTACAGCTACTGTATCTGAAGAAACATTAGAACAAAATGTCTCAATGGAGATTAACACCTTTAGTCATCTGAGGACATTTCTCATTCCATTTATTTAACACTTACTAATTTTGTTTAGCTTCAAGATCAATGGGAAATCTATATGTAAGTACTTAGACCAATTCTAAGTTTATAAAATTACCTTACCGGGGCATGGTGGCACACACCTTTAATCTCAGCACTTGGGAGGCAGAGGCAGGTGAATCTCTGTGAGTTCGAGGCCAGCCTGGTCTCCATAGTCTAGGCTGGCTGGGACTACAGGAAGATCCTGTCTCAAAAAGACCAAAAACTAAAGTAAAATTAAAATTACCTTAATTTGGCATCAGGTGCTTACATCAAAACTAAAAGATGTTGACAGTTTACCATAAAACCCAGTTTTCATGGGATGAGGGTGCTTGTTTGGTTTTGTTTTTGTCTCAAGGGTATGGCATTAAAAGAAAAATATAGAAATACTTATACTTCTGTTTTATAGAGGCACTTAATACCCAAAATAGAATTATTCTCAGTGAGTACCTTGGGTAGGGATGGGAAGCTAATTGTGTCCTTTTGAGTTTAGAACCATGTTTCAAGGCACACTCCCAAATTTTCATGCCCTGGGAAATTTTAGTTGCTCTAATACTCTTTTTTTTTGTTTGTTGGTTGGTTTTTTTTTTTTTTTTTTTTTTTTTTTTTTTTTAAGTCATGTGTCATCACACCTGATTTTCTAGAACTTTTAGGAGAACTGAGAGAGGATGTCACAGTTACTATTTTGGAAGCTTAGCATGAGTGTTTGAATCCTACTCTAAAGAAATATAAGAATTGGTTATTAATTTAATTGGTTATATATACTCTAACCCAAGGCTTTAGCTATCTAGGCAAACATGTAGTTACTGAACTTCCCTGTCCCTAATTTACTTAACTTTTTTACATTTATGACTGGGGGCATGTGCAGAGGTCACTAGACAACTTTGTAGGATTGATTCTCCTTTCCATAATGTGGGTTGTGGGGATCAAACTCAGGTGGTTAGGCTTGGTGGCAAGAGTTTTACCAGCTAAGCCATCTCACTGGCTTCCTAATTGATTCTTTTCCTCTCTTCCCTCTCCTTTTCCTTGGCTGCCCTGGAACTCACTACTAGACCAGGCTAGCTTCACACTCAGAGCTCTTCCTGCCTCTGCCTCTTTGGCACTGAGATTAAAGGTGTGCACCGCCATGCCCAGCCCTCTAATTGATCTTAATTAGCACCCAAAAGTAGTTTAATCAAAGATTTAGATTTTCTTCCTATCAACAAAAAATTAAAACAGATGTTTTCTATTGTATTAAGTTAGTATATTAACTATCACTTTCTTAAATTATCCAATAGCAGTATGCAAGTGAACTAGAAAGCTATGGAGCTTTTTAGTCGTTTCTTGAGGTGGAGTTGTTTTTAACCCTGAATCTCACATTTAGCCCACTGAGAACTGTGGACAATGTAGATGAACACGTTTGTAGATAAAGTACTATAATCTGATAAGTCAGTTGCAGCTTTTGAAATTTAAGCATTTTTGGAAGTTGACAAGTTGTTTCTGAGGGAGCTCAGTATTCTCTCACTAACAGACTGTACAAGCTGCACCAGGTTTGGTTATTGGCATATAAACATGTAGTCTTTAATCTTAAACTAAGGGAAAGAAGCACCATTTTACAGATGAGGACAAGCAAAGCAAGAGTCACTTGAGCCAGCATGGTGGAGCTCACATGAAGTCCTAGCACTTAAGAGGATCAGGAGTTCAAGGACAGCTGCAGCCAGGAAACCATTTATCAGAGCCCTAAGTAAGCTCATTGGGTCACCAAAAAAGAAGAAAGTAGAAAGGGAATAGGAGAAAGTGGATCAGTGGGAGAGAGTAAGGGGAATGTGGTGAACAAGATCAAAATACATTATGTACATGTTCGAAGTATGAAGCCCATTATGCATGATTAACATGCTAATAAATTACTTAGAACAAGTAGGCAGATTGGCCACCAGACAAATGTAGATACCCACTTTTAATTTTTTTGTATTTGAATAAACTTTGAAGGGAACATGCCCCCTCTCCCCCCAAAAAAGGTTTTAAGCTGACCTAATTAAGTGGGCACACCATGACACATTGCCTTTATGTTCAAGTAATAAAAATACTTTCACCTACATCAGGCTTCAATTCAGTACATTTTCTAAAGAATGATGTTACCTTTTTTGTTTTCAAGACAGGGTCTCCTTGTAGTCCCAGCTGGCATGGATCTCAGAGATCTGCCCACCCCTGCCTCCCTGTTCTGGGGGATTGAAGGCTTGTGCCATCATGCCTAGCTAGGGTACTTTTTTTTAAATATATGATTTTATTGTTCCAGTAGTAATTGGTTTAAATTATTTTCAATCTTTCATTCATAATTATAAAACATGACTTGAGACTGGTGACATACAGTGCATCTAATGAGCTAAAAATTGTATTATACTCTTTGACATATCGAATGTACCCTAACACATAGATAATAATGGGACTTTGTTATCAATTAGTGAAACTGGCTCCTCATTGGTTTTCAAGCTCCTTGACAAGAAGACCTCTGAGATCTTCCATAACCCCTTGGTGTAGAGGTTATAAAGGAGGCACAGTGGTAGGGTAACATAATCAGATTTATACCAAGTATGAGAGTATGAGTTTATTCCATGATGACTAATAAAGGCATGTTTGTTTTGTTTTGTTTTGCCATTTTGGCCTCTTAGAAGTATTTGCTGAAACAGAAAACAACAGTAGTAGTTAAACCTCTGATGGCTCAGCTCAGTGGTTGAATGCTTACAGCTCTTTGGAGGACCTAAGTTCAGTTCCCACCACCTGTGTGGAGTGGCTCACAACTGCCTGTAACTCCAGCTCCTATAGTTCTCATACCATCTTCTGGCCTCCATGGGCACAGACACAAATAATAAAAACAAATCTTTGGAGGGTGGCAGGAAACTGATGCAAGTACAAATACCTGCTGGAACTAGAAATCCTCCTTTGTAAAAAGGATTATAAAACATGACTTGAGACTGGTGACATACAATGCATCTAATGAGCTAAAAATTGTATTATACTCTGACACATCGAATCTACCATAACACATAGATAAAATTATATAAAATCCTTAGGATCAGGGCTGGGGAGATAGCTCAGTGGGTAAAAACACTTGCTGCTCAAGCATGAGGACCTGAGTTCAAATACCTAGAACCCAAAAAGCTGAGTGTGGTCACACACCCCAATAACCCAACACCATAGTGCAAAGAAGGATAGCTGGGGCTTGCTGCTTGCCAGCCTCGTTCAGGTTCTGTGTGAGGCCCTGCCTCGGTGGAATAAGGCAGAGAATGATAGAGCAGGCCATCTGATGGTTGCCTCTGGCCTCCATGTGCACACACATGTGCACACCACAAATATATATACCACACAAAAAAATTGAGGATCAAGTTAAAATTTGCATGTGAAAATATAAAGAAATAATACTGATTTGTATGATGGCATTGTTGAATTGCTGCAGACCAGTTCCCTAATGAAACAGGCCTACATGGTTAAAATTACAAAACAGAAACTGTCCCATGGACATAGAACAACTGAAACATTTAAGAAAGCCTCAGCCAGAACAGTGAGTTAGTTTGCGGCATCTGGACCACCAACCACTTCTTATCCTCTTGGTTCAGAGTGATGGCCACTCCAGAAGGGTGTGGCTGAGAACAGAGGACTCTCCCCATCAGTTCTCAGATGAACATTAAAGTAGCTCCTGGGAGCTTCAGGTCAGAAGAATAGTCAATATGTAATTATACACGTATTTCTCCAACTGATTTGTAAAACAGTTGTAGAAAACTATAATTGTGTTGGGGGCTTATACAACACTCTTGTTATTAACTCTGCATGGAAAATTGATGTGGGCAAAGCTGTAATTACAGAGCAAGCAGATGATACCAGGTAGTAACTTGCATTCACAGTAACACAGAAGAGAATCAGAAAACAAAGAAGAAAGTTAATACAATCAATGCTCTAAGCTTTTTTCAGACAGTTCTCATGTGTCATAGGCATTATAGACTGGCCAACAGCTCAGTATGAAGACAGCGATGAACTTGGACTGCTGATCTTTCTACCTTCTTCCCAAATACTGGGATTCCAGGCATGCACCACCATGCTCGGTGGTAGGGACTGAACTTAGGGTGTCATGCATGCTAAGCAAGCAGTCTGCCAACTGAACTACGTTCCTATCCCCCATGTTTGCTTTTTACTTCCTATCTCTCTTTAAGACATATCAAGTTATGTAATTATTACAAAGTATTAGATTTTTAATATTAGGACGCACTGTGCCCTAGCAATAATAGTACAAAAAGAGGGCAAAGGGAATAAAGCTACAGAAAAGTAATGTTTCTGTCTGCATTCTTATGAATGGATCTGAATTTGTAATAGATGTTTTAGATCCTCATACACTGTTGGCAAAGAACATAAAATGCTGCGAACTTCTTTTTTCCCTTCAGGTATCAGGTCTTTAAACATATTTGTATTGATTCTTTGAGAATATCATAAATGTACTTTGACCATGAGACCCCCCCCACCTCCACCCTAATCCTGTCCGTGATTTCGCGTCCTCTAGTATTTTCTTTTATTAAAGGCCTATTGAGGCTAATTTGTGTTTCCCCAATGCTCTTGGATGTGGATCCAGCCCTTAGAGCCTGATCAACCTACCAGATTTCACACCCTCAAACTGACTCCCTCTCCCAGCAGCTATCAGTTGTCAGTAGTTTCTCAGCTAGGGCTGGGGCTTCTTGCCCACCTCCCCCATCCATACTGTGTTTCGGTCTGGCTTGGGCTCGCACAGGTCTTGTGCATGCTGTCACATGTGCAACTGCCCTGTTGTGTCCGTAACTGCTTCCTTGTATTCATCCATCACCTCTTGTCTCTTGCAATCTTTCTGCCCCTCTTCTGCAATGATCCCTGAGACTTGGGAGGTGATGGTGTGATACAGATGTCTCATTTAGGGCTAAGCACTCTGCAGTGTCTTGCTCTCAGAGACCAGTTGTGGGTCTCTGTGTCAGTCACCATCTGCTGCAAGAAAAAGTTTGGCAAGAGTTGAGAGATGCACTAACAGGTCTGGTGGAAATCACAGGTTCAGGTCTGCCGAATTCTTAAGAAAATTGCTGTACATTTTTAGGTTTACAGTTGAATTATTACAGTTATACAATATTGTACTCAGTATAAACCCTATAAGACATAAAATTAAATCTTTTTTAACCTTTTAAAAAGATCTCCATTTCATTATTAAAATGCAGAGTTTCATACAGAAAACTTCATTTTTAATGCAATTGACATTAAGATGTTTACACATGCATTTCTAATCTCTATCAGATTATTACTAGTCACAGTCAATTATTTTCTGAGCTCCTTGGCATCTGAGGATGGATATAAAATCAGGTAGATTTCAATGATAATGTTTTTCACATCTAATTATTAAGGAGCAAATTTTTATGCTTTGAAGAATTGTTTTTTAAATCTTTTAAATTTATATGCCCACTTCCCAGGTAGCACCCTCCCGTAGTCTCCCTCCCCCTACTAGAGCCCTTATACTCTGATATCCCTGCTACTGTCTGCTGTGTTGTCGGCACCCCAGCTAATCCCCACTACTTGTCCATCTGGTGAATCTAGTTAGCCTATCTAGAGGTCATAGTATTTTTATAACCATGAATCATTAGCTCTCCATACAAATATGTGTCTATCTCTTTTACCCTAATCTGTATGTATCTGATTATTACTAGTCATAATTGGTTGCACTTGGATCCGTGGCACTTGTGTATGTCTATAAAGTCATCGGGCAGATTTCAATGGTATTGTTTATCACCTCTACTAATTAGCATGACATAAATTTCCATGCTTCCTCCTCAAATATAATGCATTTAAAAAAATTTTTTGTTTGTTTGTGTGTGTGTGTGTGTATCACACAGACCATCCCAAACCATCTCATTCGACTATATACCCACTTCCCAGATAGCACCCTCCCCCTTTCCAAGTTTTGTCCTTGTCCCTGCTAGTGAAAAGTCTCTACTTGGAGATGGCTGTTGTCTTCTACATCTGCCGCTAGATGGCACTTGTGGCTAACTCATAAGATGTGCAACCAAGCACTGGGAAGGAACAACCACAAAGGAAAAACGCTGAGCTAGGTTGCCACATCCCACAAACATTTATGTGGCATTTACTGGAATGCCAGGACAGCCAAAAATGAGCGGGGATAACACAGAGGGGAAGGCAGGACTGAAGAGAGGAGCTGTTGTGGTTTGAATGAGAAGTGTCCACCATAGGCTCAAGCATGCGAATACTTGGTATATGGCCCCCAGCTGTTTGAGGAGGTCATGGAATCCCTAGAGGGTGCACCCTTGCAGAGGAAGCACATCACTGGGGACCAGCTTTGAGAATTCATAGCCTTTTCCCACTTCCAGTTTGCTGTCTTTCTGTTTCCTGGGTGTGCTTGAAGATGTGCGCTCTCAATTTTTTTTCTCCAGCTGATTCTTGCCATGGTGGACTCTTATCCCTCTGAAACCATAAGCCAAATAAACTCTTCTATAAGTTGCCTTCGTCATGGTATGCTATCACAGCAACAGAAAAGTAGCTAATACAGGTGGAGGAGGCAAAGGCTGGGAAGGAGGAGGATTCCCGGCAGAAGAAAACACATGCCTGAAAACAGGGAGGAGAATGTGACCTAAGATGCCTCAGTGGGTAAAGCTGCTTGCTACCATGTTTAGGGACCTAGTTCAATCCTCAGGACCCCATGTAGAAGGTGAGAACTAACTCCAGCAAGCTGTCCTCTGACCTCCATGTACATGAGAGCCCAAGCATGCATACACACATGCACACACACACACACACACACACACACACACACATGCATAATTTACAAAACAAAACTAGAATGCAGTGAAATGGTGGGATCTGAGGCTGGAGCTGTTCTCAGGACACAGAGAGAAGGATCTGGGAGCTATGACTGTTGACAATATCAGATCTCTACATATGCCACAGTGACAACTTATGAGAGTTGGTTCTCTCCTTCCACCATGTCAGTTCTAGGGATGGAGCTCAGGTCATCAGCCTTGGCAGTCAGTGCCTTTACTCAATGAGCCATCTCGCCAGTTCCATGTTTTATTTCTTTAGTGTTCTTTGTACATTGTAGAAAGAAAACAAATTATTCATCTCACACACACACTTTGCAAATATTTTCTCCAAGTCTGTGGCTTTTTATCCTTCTGACTTTCCAAGATCAGAACTTTTTAATTATAATGACATTCAGTTGATCAATTTGTTCTTACATGGATCATGCATGATTTTAGTGTTGGATATGAGAAATTTTTATGTAACTCAAAGTAGCAAAGATTTTTCTCTTGTTTCTAGATGTTTTACAATTAGAGAGGAACTGGTATGAGTTTTTGAAAATCACTATTCACCTGCTAAGTATGGTAAATGGAGGAAACAGCAACAGTAAAGTACAGTAACGAACCCTTTAAATCAGGCAGGTAGCCATGTGGGAGACAAAGCCTCATGAATTTGATAATTGATAGAGCAATTCTCAAAGAACAGATTAATGTACTGGACTTCCATGTTAATTTTTTGAGTTAATTTTATTTTTGAAATTTTTTTCAAGAAAGGTAAGGAGTGAGATGCCAGGTCAGCCAAATCCTCTGCTGTTGCTGATGGCTCCCTGCAGCGCTTCTTCTACTCTCTCCATTGTAGAGTATTTAGGAAGGAGGAGAATACTAAAACACGTCTGTGCTCTTACTGGATCGTTTTCACTCCAGTTTTCAGGACAGCAAAATGTTATTTTCATATTGCTTAAATCTTTTATTGGTAATCTGTCAGTTCCTGTAAGAAACACTAAAAAGAATAGTAAGATTGAATGACTTACTCCCATGAACACTATTATTTTTCTTTCTTTTTTTTCTTTTTTTTTTTTTGGTCTTTTTGAGACAGGGTCTCCCTGTAGCCCCAGCTGACCTGGAACTTACTGTGTAGACCAGGTTGGCCTCAAACTCACAGAGATCCACCTGCCACTGCCTCCCGAGTGCTGAGATTAAAGGCACGTGCCACCACGCCCGACAGTATTTCTTTTTAAAAAAAATATTTTATTTTTGTTTTATGTATATGAGTGTATTGCCTACATGTGTGTGAGTGCACTTGTGTCATGCAGTGCCTGTGGAGTTCAGAAGAGGGCGTCAGATCTCCTGGAACTGGAGTTACCGACGGTTGTTAGCTGCCACATGGGTGCTGGGAATTGAACCCAGGTCCTCTGCAAGAGCAGTCCTCTTAACCTTTGAGCCATCTCTCCAGCCTTAGTATTTCTTTTTAAATAGAGAAATTAAGTTCATTGAAAATACTTTACCTAAGGCCCACAGGCAAAATCTTAACAGTGCATTGTGGGGGGTAGGTGGGTGGGAATCTAACACAGTCACTGCCTTCAAGCAACTTAAAATCTGATTGGAAAAATAGTAGTCCCCTTTATCTGTAGGGCATTAAGTTCTGAGTCTTCAGTGGTGGCCTCAAAATGTGGATAGTATCAAGTCACATATAGAGTGTATTTTTTCTATACATACACACTTTTAATAGACTTTTAACTTTTTACAGCAAAGAAACACTTTATGATTTCTCTTAAGCATATCAAAATTGCCAGCATCATTACTCATGTACTTTAGACTCATAATTAAGTAAAATAATGGTTACTTGAACACAGCACTGTGATACTTCCATGTCAATCTGAAAAACTAAGACAAGTACCTAATGAGCAGGTAATTTAGGGGTCTGAAGACAAAAGTTTATATACAAAAGAAATGGTTTATATCTTGAGCAAAAGAGATTAAGATGGCACGTGATTTCACCATAAATGTATTAAATGTTTGTTTCTGAAATTTCCCATTTAATATTTTTAGACTGTGGGTAGCCTGCAGATTAAGTGAAACTGTGGAAAGGGAAACCACAGATAGGAGGGGGCAAATACCGTTAGATTCTTGTGTAGAAAAAGACAAGTAGCAAGAGAAGATGTGGAAGGCGTAAGCCAGCCAAGGAAGAAACAAGCAAGTGCCCTGAAAACAAATGTAGAAGCGCTACAGAGCAGAGAGAGCAGGACAAACTGAGAAACTGAGGAAATGTCTAAGAGTTCAGAAAAAGCTGGACCGTTAAGGACGGAAAGATTTAGAGAAGAAGCAAGGCTCAAGGTGGGGGAAGGAACACTGGAGAAAGTCCAGGGTGGGAGGGTGCGAATGAGCACAGGGTTGTGTAGGTAATGGAGCTGTTGGGCTGAGGCAAAGATTTTCTTTAGGAGTACCGGAAGGCAAGCTGTTGGGATTCGTATGTTTGAATACCTTCCAACATATTCATGCTATTCATAAAAAATAAGAAAAAGATAAATGTTTTTCAGAAGCAAGGACTCAGAGTCACAAGAAAGCCACAGGGTGAACATAAAACTGAGCTCAGAATTTGTGGAGTTAAAACAGGCTTGGAGAGCTGGGTGTGGTGGTGCATGCCTTTAATCCAGTACTCCCGAGGCTGAAGCAGGCAGATCTCTGTGAGATCAAGGCCAGCCTGGTCTCCATAGGCCAGCTGGGGCTATAGGGAGACCCTGTCTCAAAACAAACAAACAAACAAGCAAACAAACAAAAAACAGACTTAGAAACACAAGTAGAGGGGCTGGAGAGATGGTTCCGCAGTTAAGAGCACTGACTGCTCTTGCAGAGGACTCAGGTTCCATCCCCAGCACCCACATGGTGCCTGACAACTGGCCGTAGCTCCAGTTCCAGGGGAATCTAACATTCTACTCTGTGGGTATTGCACGACACAGGTGCACTTTTAATACATGCAGACAATGCACTCGCACACATAAAAATAATAAAATATTTTTTAAAAAAGAAAAGAAGTTGAAAAGCTTGTGTGCAGTAATAGTAGACACAACAATAAAGATATAACAATGGGAAAAATTAGCTAAATAAACTATCTCAGGAAACCCTACATGGCTGAATAACTGAGTGATAACAAGAGCTACAAACAGAATGAATGCTCAGGATTTATAGTGGAGAAGTTGAATGTGAAAGCAGTGGGCAGGGATGAAGTCACGGGGGGGGGGGGATCATCTATCTTAAAACATGACTTTGATCTGGAATGGAGAGAACACTCACCTGTACTGGAAAGTGACTTTGATACTATGATTTGTTATAGATGGCATCTGTCTTAAGTAAGATTAAAATTTTTTTTTTTATTTTTTGGTCTTTTCTGAGACAGGGTCTCCCTGTAGGCCCAGCTGACCTGGAACTCGTTACGTAGACCAGGCTGGCCTTGAATTCACAGAGATCTGCCTGCTTCTGCCTCCCCAGTGCTGGGACTAAAGGCGTGTGCTACCATGCCCAGATTAAATGAGATTTATTTTTACCCCTTTAAAAAGACAGCATTAGAGGGGCTAGAGAGATTGCTCAGGTTAAGAGCACTGACTGCTCTTGCAGAGAACCCAGGTTCCAGTCTCAGCACCCACATGGCAGCTAACAACTGTCCAGTTCCAGGGGATCTGATGCCCTCTTCTGACCTTCACAGGTATTACCTGACACGGGTGTACTAACCATACATGCAGGCAATTCACTTATATACATAAAAATAAAAATAATGTAAAAATATTTTTACAAAGACAGCATTAGAGATGTACTTACCAAGGAACTTTCTCTTTTCTTCCAGAGTCAATTTGTGTAAAGCCTTCCAAAACATCACTATAGTGGGATGTGAATGGTGGAATCCTTGTCCATAAATTGCATTCTAAAGAAAATAATGAAAAAAAAAAGATATTCAGGAAGAGGAAACAAAACTGAAGTTAATCAACTTACCCTTTTTGGCAACATACCTTTTCAAATGCTTCCCAATCATAATCTGTGTTTCCAACAATCATATGCTTCAGTTCCTCAGGATGAAAAAATTCTATAATCTCCTTGTCACACACTTTATAAAATCCTCTCTCAAATTCTTCATAAACCATTTTTACAGAGATGTTGAAGATATAATCCACACACTTAGAAACATAGTCTTTCCTTTCATAAAACAACAAAAAGTTTCAATTACCATAATAACTTGAAAAATTGGTAGCTAAATCTAAAATCTTGAACACCCAACAGTTAATAACCATGAACTGTTACAATTATCTTTTGTATGTGGTACTGTTTATCCAATGATAAACCCAGGGCTTCGTGCATAATAGACAAACATCTTCCTACTGAGTTACATTCCCAGTCTGTTTTAAATTTTATTTTAAGAAAGGCAAGAGCCAGGACTGGAGAGGTGGGTCAGTGATTAAGAGCACTGACTGCTCTTGCAGAGGACCCGGGTTCAGTTCCCAGCACCCTCATGGTGGCTACAAACCATCCCTAACTCCAGTTCCAGCAGAATCCGAAGCCCTCTTCTGACCTCCACGGCATTGCACAACATGGGTGCACTTGCATACATGCAGGCAATACACTCGTACACATAAAATAAAAATAATAAATAAAATATTTTTAAAAAAGGCAAGAGCCAAGTTGCCCAGGTTGGTATTGAGCTTGCAATCCTCTTGCTTTTGCCTGTTGAGCAGTTAAGATTACACACATGTACCATTTTATCTGACTGTAGTTACTTTTTGTAGATTATCTAATTTAATATTGACAATTCCCTCAGGCATATTCGCATATTATGAACATGTAAGAAAAAGAACCAGATACAATGATGTTAAATAACTGATCATAGTCACACAGGTAAGAGAATCAATGCTGAGATCAGAATAGTAGAGCCTTGTAATAAAAGCCTAAACTGCTAATGGTAAGCATGTTTGAGAGATGGTGTGAATTTCATATTTTATTTTATGCTCTTATGAGTAACCTGAATCATGATGAACTACTGTTATTGGTGGTTAAATACAAATGAAAAAGTGATTTCCACTTTGAGCTAGGATGAAGCAGTTGATGGCAGACAGAGCCTCTAAGAGTAGAGCTAAGCTCTACCTAGGTTTTAAGGGGCTGGAGAGATGGCTCAGCGGTTGAGAGCACTAACTGCTCTTGCAGAGGACCCGTGTTCAATTCCCATCACCCACATGGTGGCTATGAACCATCCTTAACTCCAGTTCCAGGGGAATCTAAAGCCCTCTTCTGATCTATGTGGCATTGCATGGCATGGGTACACTCACATACATGCAGGCAATAAACTCATATACATAAAATAAAAAGAATAAAATATTAAAAAGGGTATTCTTTAATATTTTAAATACATACATTCATGGTATCTTCAAATAATTAAAATTTCATTTTTCTTTTCTTTTTCTTTGTGTATGAGTGTTTTGTCTGCATGAATGTAAGTGCACCACATGCATGCAATGCCTGCAGAGGCCAGAAGAGGGTATCTGATCCCTTGGAACTGGAATTAAGGACAGTTGTTAATTGCCATGTGGGTGCTGGGAACCAAACCTGGGTCTTCTGCAAGAGTAGCCAGTGCTCTTAACCTTTGGGCCACCTCTCCAGCCCCAGTATTTATTTGTCGTATAATAATATTTTCACCTTCTTTACTCTGTTTCATTGTACTGGCTGAAGCATCTGGAACAATGCTGCCTAGAAATGGTAGCAGCAGACTGACTTTCTCTTTATCTCAAGTGGAAGTTTTTGGTGTCTCACCATTAAACATAAGATTGACATAAGGATATTACTTTCTATTCCCAGTTTATTAAGAATTTTAATATTAACAAAATGGTCACATTCATATATATTAATAATCAGAAAATTGAAATTTTTAGTGATAAAATTTAATTAGCATAGAAAAAACGCTGTATAATTAAGATTTGTGCAATTTTCTGTATTATAGTGTCATACCGCAACAAAAAGTTTTTAAAAATTAAGAAATTAGAGAAAAAGATTTGGTGTAGACTAGAAATATCACTGCCAATATCTTTCCATTTAATCAGCTGTCTTGGGAAGTCAAGATACTTCGGTAACTTCTATTCTATGTGCCATTTAAGTGTCAGGCATGACAATTGTTACTCCAGGCACAGCATGTACAGTGATAAAGCATGCAAATCAAGTCCCTTTTATGAGAAATGGAGAGGCAAATAAAATCTAAAGCAACATAAGGAAAAGGAAAGACATCTCTTTGAAAGCCATTTTCACTCATTATATATAATGTAAAGTCCATGGTGTAAATGTCTATACGGATTCATATAAGAAACACCAGTTTCTCTGCTTAACTACTAATAAGAACAAAAAATTCTATTAAAAGGGACTTTTAGAGTTTAGCGAGTATAGATATGAATTAAATATTTTTCTTTATACATACTTGTTAGTCTGGTCAACAACTACACAGTTTCCATTAGGAATTAATTCTATATCATTTCTGTCCCAGTGTACCTGTAAACACAAGTGAATTTAGATAACGCCGAAGACAATTCTGAACAATGCATTACTAACACTTTGAAGAATACCTCATCTCCTATAAGATTTTTAAAAGCATAGTTTGTTGCACACAAACAGAACTAGCACTAAAGGTACAAACAAAAAGATTACCATTCACCATGCAGAATGAAAAAGAAATTTCACTTACCTGAACTGATCATATTAAATGAAATTATAAAACTGCCATATCTCAGTATCTTTTTTTTTGTAACTGATTTTTTTTATTCTTTATTTTTTTTCATTACGGCTTTAACATATTCAATAACAATTTCCAGAGCAAGGCTACATCTCTTCCAAAAGTGACTGTAAATTTTTAGGTTCACAGTTGAATTAATACAGTCATACAATATTGAACTCAGTATAAGCCATATTTTTATATAATGCAGATCCCATGTGGTAGATTTGCAAAAATGGCCAGCAATTTCTCCTACCCTATTTTATTTTTAACAATTTAAGATTTTATTTTGTTTTATTATCTTTAAATATTTTATTTATTATTATTACTTTTTTTTAATAGAGCATAGGGTAGGGGTTTATTTACAGAAGAGTGGGCAGCCCACATTTACGGCTGCATCATAATGAGTATGTATTTAAGTCCACACACTGAAATACAGATCCTGTGACCCCCAAGAGCTGCACAAAATGGTGAGAGAGGTGCCTCTTGGTGTTCTTGGCTTATATATCCTTTGCCCCTCCCCTGACATGCAGCTAAGGTCAACTGATTGGGTGGGAGGGGTAACTGACTCCCCCCTTGACTCCTTGATGAGTGTGGGAAGGAGGTGTGACTATAGCTTGCTGGCATAGTGGTCAGAGGACGTTTCCAGTTAACACTCCACCCCTTCCTTTGGCTCTTACATTATTTCCACCAACCTCTTCTGCAAAAGTCCCTGAGCCTTGGAGGGAGTGGTAGGTGTGGAATGATCTTCCTCCCATTGTGGCAAGGCATTGAACTTTTGAGTCCCTGTATCATCTGTTTTCCATGGGCTGTTGGCCAGTTTCAGTGGGATTTTATCTACACCATGTGGAGGCTGGATCCAGACGCTCCCAGGCAGTCTGCTGAGTTCTTAGTGTCTAAGCCAGACAGAGGCCAGAACAGCCACTCTCAGGATTTCTGCTAAGGTTTGTCCTACCCTGATTTTCATTCCATTTTGCAATGTAATTGTGTGATACTCTGGCTATGGCCATGTGAAATGCTTTGCCAGTGGGATCTGGCAGAAGCAGAAACTTTTGTCATTCCATGCCATTTCCTATACTGTTTGTAACCCTGAATCCACCATGAAGGCACCTCAGTGGCCTGGTAGTGGATAAGAGATCATGTGGACAGAGATGAAGCAGCTCCAGCTGAGGTCCCTATAAGCCAACCAAACCATGAGTATCAGGTATGCAAATGAGGTCATTACATACCTTCCAGGCCTGTCTGGAAACTGAAATAATCATGTTTATTGCTTTAACATACTAAATTTTCAAGTCAAGTTGGATGTGACACAGTATATCTAACTGATGAATTCAACTCATTAAAAAATGAGAAAAAAACCTTTTTCGTTAGCATCATTCAGAAATTTGTAAAAGGTGACATGCTGTGGTAAGCATGTAAAGGATTAATCAAAATGAAAACTGATTTATATTTGTAGTTTTTGATACTCACATTAAAGTGGATGTAATATACTTCTCCAAAGTCACTGCTTTCATCATCCAGAAGTGCTTGCAAACTCCTACAAAAATAATTTTGTTAAAAAAGCAATAGTCATGATCACTAGTTACACCACTGCCATGGATAACTTCAATTTTCAACTTCATTAAAGTAGGAAATACCAAGGACATTTGTGAGGCATGCCTTTGGATGTGCCTGGGAGGAAGATTTAAAATGTGGGTACCACCATTCCATGGGCTGGAGTCCCAGACTGTTGAGCTGTAAGAAGATCCAGCCACATGCTCCATGAACTCCAACATGCCTTTCCCACCATGATGGACTGTATTCCCTCAAACTTTGAACCTAAATAAATCCTTGCTTCCTTAAGTTGTTTCTTGTTGTGTATTTGGTCACAGCACTGAGAAAAGTAACTACAACAGACATCTAAGATAAATATCAAGCACATAGCTATTCTCAAGATAAGAAATGAGATACAGAAGACAACATCTATTTCTTTGCCCATTGAGTCTAAAGAAGGCCAATTAAAAGCATGTTTGTCTGCAGGTTCCTGCAGGTTACCCTCCTGATTTGCAGTTCTCAAACTCTTTTTAACACTATTTGGAAGCAATATTTCATTTTGAAACAAAAATTAGCCTGCTATTTTTGTCTGGCTTTTTTTTTTTTTTTTTTAGAGGATGTTTTTATGGTTCCCTTTTTTATTTTTTAAGTTTTATTTAATAACCATGTGACTAGGAGAAA